AGGAGAGAGTTAAATTAATCCACGGAGGACCACCACTCCTTCACCAGCGGCAGCAAGTAGCAACAACAACAGGGAGGCAGCAAACAGCAGCAGCAACAGGCAGCAGCAAGCAGCAAGCTTGGAAATAGGGTTAGAAATAGAAAGAGGATAGTCATATACGGACTAAATTTCCATTTTAAAGTTGGGCCAAGTGATTGTGTACTTTGTTTCTTTTCTATTGAATAAAAGAGCTCCAAGCTCAAATTTGATTAAAAAATAAAAAGAAATTTTAAATATAATTTTTTTAATTAGTTATGACTTTAAAAACGGGGTCTATCTATATTTAATAAAAAAAACACTCAAAAGTTAAAACTGAAGCCAGCAAATTCGCTAAAAATTACAACAAAAAAATATGTTGTTGCTTGGAATCGATCCCGCGACCCAAAGCTCACTTAAGCGAAATCTTGAACCCCCTCAACCATTGGGCTACTCCTTTGATATATATTCAGGGGTTCAATTTTAAATATATACATGTACATAAAAAATCGATCTTATATATATAGTGTAATTTTTTTACCCAGGGGGGTCGGATGACCCCCCCCCCGGAATGACTGTACATCCGCCCCTGCTCAAAGAGATACTTGGATGTGGAAATTGGACAACAAAGGATTATACTCTGGAAAAAGTGGGTATCGTCTCCTTTATAATCAAAACATAGCACCCAACTCGCAGGACCAACAACTTTAGAAATTCATCTAGAGCATATCATTACCCTCTAAGGTGCTTAACTTTATCTGGAGAGCTTTGAGAAATATTCTACCTACATGTGAGAGCCTTTCCAAGAAAAAATGTGTAGCTAGTTCAATTTGCCCTCGATGGTTGCAAGCGTCAGAAATTGTGAAACATTGCTTGGTAGATTGTCAATTTGCAAAACAATGTTAGATTCATTCAAATTTTGGTTTGGCATGATGTACTAGGAGATTTTGTGGCATTGTTTGAAGAGCAAAGAAAGCGCAATGCAAAAATAAAAATGGAGGAAACAGTCATGATTTTGTGGAGCTTATGGGAAGCCAGAAATAATTTATGTTGGAATAATAAATAAAATTTGTCCGCAGGCACTTTGTACCGTGCGAAGAAGGAGCTGGAGGAATGGAGGAGCGCCAATTCAGGAGCCGATATGATTGCTGCTGCTACAAAAATGATAACTAAATGGGAGCGACCTCTGCTTGACACAATTAAATGTAACATGTACCGATGCCTCTTACAATATCAATACCGATTTGGCGGGGATATGCATGGTGCTACGTGATCACTTGGGTCAATTTATTGTTGGAAAAAAAATATTTCTTGGCCGTTTGGCTAGCCCGTTATTGGCCGAGATCATAGGGGTGCGTAGGCTCTTAGTTGGCTGAAGGACCGATTCAGTAGAACGAGGTCGGTTGTGGAAACTGATAATTTACTTGTGAGGCAAGCTCTGGAAGAAAACTTGGTGAATTACACTTATTTTGATTCTTTAGTTTTTGATTGTAAAACTCTTATCAAAGATTTATCTTTTCTCTCTTTGTCGATTGTTAAGAAATTAGCGAATCAGGTTTTTCATTGTCTTGCTAGAGCCTCTGTTTCTATTTCTGGTTCGATGGAGTGGGATACTAACCCTCTATCTCTCATTACTGATGTACTTATTTTCGATTTGAATAATACATGATGAAAGAACCATTTCAAAAACAAACAAAAAAACTTTATTAATGACTAAATTAACAAATAATCCAGTAGTATATCCACTATAACTTAGCAAAGTACTTTCTTTTGGTAATACCATCCCACTTCTTTGCTATGGCAAGATTAAGGATCTGTTTGATCATGAGAATTATTCTTCGTTTTAGGATTTTTATTTTATTTTAATGAAAAATCACTATTTTGATCATGAAATTTTTGTTGGGTTTAGCAAGGTGTGAATAGTAAATAGTGAATGGGAAATAAAAAGAGAAAATGGAAAGTGGAAGAACCAATGAAAATGGGGGAACCAATTTTGGAGGGAAAATGAAAAGTCATTGCAAAAATGCAAATGAATAGTCATTTTTTACCATATCGGTAGAAGAGAGGAAATTGTTGTCCTTATATTAGGAAACACTTCCTTTAGTTCTTAAAGGGTTAAGAAGAAGGTGCCCCCTCGCGCCGTCGTCTTCGCTCGGCTTCGGCTGGGCTTTGGCTTTGGCTTTGAAAAATGATCGTTTGAGAGATTATTTTTTTGACAAAGTTTTTTTTAATTATTTTAGTTAATTATTTATTTAATTAATTAAATTAAATGGCCAACGTTTTAATTCGTTAATTAATCGATTCAATTAATTGACCCGACCCGACTCGGATCCACGCGCGACTTATTTTATTTAAATCTTTCCCATTTTTATTTTAATTTCCCGCCGTTGGAAGTGACTGTTCTGAAAGGTTGCAACTTTCAGAAACA